CTGACATGCGAGCAGAAAGAGGGTCAGAAGATGGCCCTGGAAACCCTTTGTGCAGAGCTGGGGGGGTCCTGGTTCTTAAGCTCTCTGCAGCAGAAACCAAATCTAGCCCACTTGACAAGAGGAGAGTTAGTGGAAGAATGAAGAGGACTTCGAGATTTGACAGGAGGAACTTGGTTTAGAAAAGAGAGAAACTGAGGTAGTTTGGGGGGCAGTGTAGGAAACAGGGCAGGGCTAAGATCACGTAGCAGGAATACTCAGGACAACACTGCTAAGAAGGAGTAAAAGCCCCAGCTATTTTTAGGCTATTTTCTCTCTGCCTATGATTTAAATACCAGTAAGGGATCACACCATTGGCTTAAGTCTGTTTGCTTGCCCCGCTACTCCCCTCCCCTTGGCGGAGTTACTGCAGGTTCCTGATTATAACTGCAGTGGACTGGAATGACAATAGGGAAGAGGTAGTATTGATAAAGGACGCTGGGGTGCTCTAGGAAATTTGCTTGTGTTTTTCCTATGGCTGATTACCATCCCACTGAATGGATGTACTGTCATTTATTTATCTATTCAAGAGTTGATGGTCATTGGTGTTGATGGGACTTTTTTGTTTTTAAAATTAGTTAGCAGTTATTTTTATTTTTTTAATATTATTTTTTATTTTATTTTATTTTTTGATGTAGTGTTCCATGATTCATTGTTTGCGTATAACACCCAGTGCTCATTGCAATATGTGCCCTCCTTAATACCCATCACCAGGCTAACCCATCCCCCACCCCCCTCCTCTCTGAAACCCTCAGTTTGTTTCCCGGAGTCCATAGTCTTTCATGGTTCGTCGCCCCCTCTGATGTCCCCCCCTTTCATTTTTCCCTTCTTTCTCCTAATGTCCTCCATGCTATTCCTTATGTTCCACGTATAAGTGAAAGCATATGATAATTGTCTTTCTCTGCTTTACTTATTTCACTTAGCATAATCTCCTCCAGTTCCATCCATGTCGATGCAAATGATGGGTATTCATCCTTTCTGATGGCTGAGTAATATTCCACTGTACATATGGACCATATCTTCTTTATCCATTCATCTGTTGAAGGGCAGCTCGGCTCTTTCCACAGTTTGGCTATTGCAGACATTGCTGCTATGAACACTGGGGTGCATGTGCCCCTCTTTTCACTACATCTGTATCTTTGGGGTCAATACCCAATAGTATAATTGCTGGGTCATAGGGTAGCTCTATTTTTAACTTTTGAAGAACCTCCAGAACTGTTTTCCAGAGTGGCTGTACCAGCTTGCATTCTCACCAACAGTGTAAGAGGGTTCCCCTTTCTCCACATCCTCTCCAGCATTTATTGTTTCTTGCCTTGTCAATTTTTGCCATTCTAACTGGTGTAAGGTCGTATCTCAGTGTGGTTTTGATTTGAATTTCCCTAATGGCTAATGATGTTGAACATTTTTTCATGTGTCTGTCATCCATTTGTATGTCTTCTTTGGAGAAGTGTCTGTTCATGTCTTCTGTCCAATTTTTGACTTGATTATTTGTTTTTTGGGTATTGAGTTTGAGAAGTTCTTTATAGATCTTGGATATGAGCTCTTTATCTGTAGTGTCATTTGCAAGTATCTTCTCCCATTCTGTGGGTTCCCTCTTTGTTTTGCTGACTGTTTCCTTTGCTGTGCAGAAGCCTTTTATCTTGATTGAAGTCCCAAAAGTTCATTTCATTTTTGTTTCCCTTGCCTTTGGGGACGTGTCTTGAAAGAAGTTGCTGTGGCCGATGTCAAAGAGGTTACTGCCTGTGTTCTCCTCTAGGATTTTGATGGGATTCCTGTCTCACATTGAGGTCTTTCATCCATTTAGAGTTTATCTTTGTGTATGGTGTAAGAGAATGGTTGAGTTTCATTCTTCTGTATATAGCTGTCCAATTTTCCCAGCACCATTTATTGAAGAGACTGTCTTTTTTCCATTGGATATTTTTTCCTGCTTTGTTGAAGATTAGTTGCTATTAAGCTTCATTGGCTTGCCTACTTGCTATGGGGTTCTGTTTGTTTGTTTTGAACACTTGGGTTTGTGCTGGTGAGTTTTACATCATGCATTACCTTGGTTGCCCCAGTGTTCATCTGCAACGGGGTTGCTCAGGAATTCTTGATCTGCCTGGTGACCCATTGACTAAACTAGTTTGGGGTCCACTGGTTCATAGAAAGCCCAGCTCTGCCAAAACCATCAGGCTTGGAGTTGCCTCTGCCTGGGACTCCAGCCCCATTCCCTCTGTCTAAAAGAGCACTGTGAGCCAATTGGTTGTCACTTGGAGAACAACGGAACTGGATGTAACTACATCAGAACCACTCTGAACACACATTTAAATTCTCTAATCCAATGATATGCACTTTGCTAGAAAAATAAAGCCAGACCCTGCATTTCTTGAACAGCATTTCTTGCCTTGGTCCCAAAGGCAAGTTGACCACTTCATCTGGTACTCAAGAGAAGAAACAGCTAGATCCTTATTCCCGGAGATAAAAGTGTCTGAGTGGAAGACACTTAGGAAGAGCTTGTACAATATTCCCCCAAATTGTGTCTTTTGTACTTTATGGGAGATTTAAGGGATTTTTAAGGGTGACATTGACAATGCAGGAGTTTCACATTACACACTGGCTTGATAGAAGATGCCATTCTACCCAGAGCCCTTTCATTTATAAACATGCTTATGGTTTTATTATTTTGCTTGACCCTCACACCTACCCCATGCACAAACAGGTCAACTACTGGTATTCCATTTTGCAAATGGGGATGCTGAAACACAGAGTAAAGACCACGGCCAAGACGATGGAGAGCAAGTGATGGGTCATTCCAAGTGGGATCCCATCTTTTTTAAATTTTGTTCATCATGGGCTTTTGGCATTAACTTTGATTTTTAAATTATTGTGTTAAAATGTTACCTACCTTGATTACTGAATCCTTTGCACCCCAAACTAGTGCATTAATTGCCTTATTCTAGTCCCAGCTCTGGAGGCTGGATGGATTAGCCTGGATCCTATGAAGTATCCATTTATTGCATGTCAAGAAGAGATGAATATCAGTAATTGCGTATAGTTCAACCTAATGGATTCTTCCAGAAGGGAGTCCTGAGGGTCCCCACAGGTCTCTGCACTACATGTAACTGCTTCGTTCTTCTGTGCAGAGGTCCTCAGCCAGGTTGCACATTTTAACCAGCCTTGGGGCTTTTATGAAAACTAGAATCGCAGGCTGGGGATGGAGAAATGGTAGGGGTGTTTTCAAAAAACTCCTCCAGTGTGAACCTCTGGATTACAGCCTCTGAATCAAACTAGGTTTTTTTTTTTTTTTTTTAAGATTTTTTTTTTTATTATTCATGAGAGACAGAGCGAGAGAGAAAGGCAGAGGGAGAAGCAGGCTCCCAAGGAGCAGGGAGCCCGATGTGGGACTCGATCCCAGGACCCTGAGATCATGACCTGAGCCGAAGGCAGACGCTTAACCATCTGAGCCACCCAGGCGCCCTGAATCAAACTAGGTTTAAACGAGGCTGTAGGGACCGAGTGTCCTGGATTCACATTCTGGCGGCATCACTTTCTAACCACAGGATCTGAGGCTAGTTACAGGTTGTTGCGAGTGGTGAGTAATGTATGTAAGTGTCCAGCATAGTGCTTGATACCTAACAAATCCTGGATACCGGGTAATGGTTCTAGGAGCTATTATTTTGTGCCAAGGCCCAGAGAAGTGAAGTAAGACACCCCAGGTCACCCAGCAAGTTCCTGAAAGAGTTGGGTTTGTGGCCAAGGTCTGTCTGGGCTGATATCTAGCACCAAAGCAACCACATTTGATGTCCACTAAATGTTCGGTCCAAGGCCGGAGGCCCTCGGTCACTAGCCCACAGCGTTTCCAATGAGCCCCCGCCCCGCTGTCATGGATGAGGGACGGCCCTTGGCCAGAGCCGAGGTGCACAGGCAGAGAGAGGAGGCACAGTGGCCTAAAAGAGCAGGTCCCTGTCCCGGGGAGATTCCCCTCCCGCAGGGAAAGCCCCCAGCCTCTATTACCTCAAATGCCCACACTTCTGCCTAGCGCTGCCAGCCACTTTCATTTCCTCACCTCCAATTCCTTTAACTTTTTGTGTGCTGGCTTCTCCTCCTAGCACCTCAGGCCATGGCAGGGACCTCCTGAATGTTGAAACTGCGGGCACCACGGGGGACCTCTGCCTTGGGGACACCGCCGGTCACTCTTTTTCCTGAGCTTCTTGCCCTTTCTGCTTTCTGCCATGCCACAGGCCAAACAAAGTGAGTGAGCGGGGCCCAGCCTCTTCCCTGGCCACCTCTCCTCCTCACCTCTCAGGTTCCAAACAGCCCCAAAGTCTTGTGGCTCCTGCGCCCTGAAGCCCTGCCTGGGAGGCTGCACTTGCCACCTTTCCTGCCTCCAAGGCCCCCCAGCCCCATCACGCTCTCCAGGCAGACCCCCCGGTCCTCCCTTGAACACAGAGCTGATCAGCAAGCTTTCTGGGGGTGTTCCCACCCCTGGTCCCGCTGCCTCCAGGTCACTTCCAACCTCTCACGTGACAGCAAGTTTCTATAATTCAGTTGTATCCACATCCAGCCCGCGAACCAGACTGGGAACTCCTTTAAGGTCAAAGCCGTTGCTGTCCAAGGTCCACACTTTGAGGAGAAAAGATGAACCCTAAGGCCAAAGTGGGTCAGAGGAGGGAGATTTCAGTGTGAACCGCAGAGGTCCTAGGACAGTGCCCTGGGTCTGGGATGATGGCGGCCCTTGGATGGGCAGAGGGCAGGGAGAGAAACATCCTCCCTGGGGTCACCCAACTCCCTGCTCTCAGGGGCCCGGGAGTGAGGGCTGGTTCCAAGGACCTGTGACTTATGCCCCAAAGCATAAGTCACTGCCCTTAACAAGCAGCTGTGCCGAACAGGAGCTCCGTGTGTGAATAGCCTGTTTTTGCGACATGCCCTATTCTGATCATGTCAGGAAACATTTTGCAAATTCAGAAGTCAGAGCCAAAGGGAAGTGCTGTGTGGTCTACAGCTAGCTGCAGTAGTTAAATGAGAACAATCTTTCCCCAAGTGGTTCCTCTTGAGGACAGCATTTCTGCTGGCTCTGGGACTTTGGGCCATCTATAAAGCTTCACAATGGAAAATAAGGAAAGTCTCAAGGAGGAAGAGTTCTTGGCTAGAACTGGAGAAAGAGCAGCCGTCAACCAAACCATGTTCCCTGCAATGGAGGCCTTTGAAATCAATGGTAAAGTACTGCTTCCCAGTAATGACATTGCCTGGTGATGTACTTTTTCTGTTGGCAACATAAGAATAGACAAGGCGATAGGAAGCCTTAGGTTTGTGCCATAGACTCTCACTAATACATTTCTGGAATGCTTCAATGTGGGATTCATGTAATGTTAGGAATAGATGCTGTATCTTTAGTATACAGTTGGGTTGTTGTTGTTTTTTAGCTTCCCAATAAATTGTATTAAAATATTTACCCTTCGATGAGTTCTAATACTTATCATATGCCCTTCCTTTTTATTAGTCTTATTTTGACACCCAGGTTGTGTGACAAAATGGCAAAGCAACACAAGGGGGATGAAAAAGTTCCACAGAATGAAAGCCAAGGGCCACATATTTATTTAATGTAATTCCTTTAAAACTCTTTAAGGTGACTTCCATTATAACTGACGTGTTGATCAGGGAGTGCTTTCTCCAGTTCGCGCTGGCTAGGATATGTTCATAGCTTCATAATTAGTTTGTCTTAGATTCAATTCGGGTTTTAAAAATTCAGGCAACTCTTTTCTCCCTCATCCTTCTACAGGTGGTGCATTTTTTAAGTCTTCTAGAATTTAAAGTCGCCAGTGAGTGTTTTCCACAGGGGACCTCTGATTTCCCGTGCTAGAATATCCTCTAGGACTTGCCTTCCAAGTTGATGAGTCATTCCCACTCCTAGTCTTTTCTGGAAGTCGTCTGTTCAGAACAATTGCAGTTCTGTCCCCCAGCCTGATCTGTCCCTCTCACCCAGTATTTGTGAGGGTCACTGGCTGGAATTGAAGGGGGCACAAAGATGCAGGGTTGGGTGTTCTGCCTTTAGGAATTCACAGTGTGATAACAGAATGCGTGCGTGCAAATGATTTTACTAATTGTTGGCTATTCAGAACTTTGGGGAATGCAGCATTCTGGATATATGACTTTTTATGTTACTGAAAGTGTGCAAGCAAAGTCAGCTGATCAAACATATTCAGCACCTACTGGGCACTGCTCTTGGCACTGAGGAAACATACAAGAATAAACGGGGTGTCCTCAGTCATGTCGGTGGTGGCAGGAGGAAGGCAGGGTCGGGCCACCTATAAACTATCTCTATACAAGCGCAGGACAGATCTATGGACAGATCTAACCTGGTCTGACCTGGAGGTCAGAAGTGAGACCTCTTCTAAAGTTTAAAGAATAAAGGGAATTAGTGAAATAAGATACTGGCTGGGGCAGCAATAGAAGACCACGGGTTTATGCTATATTCATAGGGACTATTTAGAGAAATACAAATAGTTTCATGGGGTGGGGCCAAGGTTGAGTGGGGGAAGTTCGGTGGGGATTGAGACTGGGACCAATTAATTTAGACTTTGTCTTGAAGACAATGGGGAGCTTTGAATGTTTGACTTTGGGCTAAGAGGCATTGGTTTGCTGTTGAGATTACTCGCTATCATAGATGTGGAACGAGCTAGAAAGAATAACTCTGAGGACAGAGAGAAGCGTGGCAGCAAGAGACAATAAGAGCAGTGGTTATAAGGAAGGGAAAGAGAGAATGTTCCGGAAAGATATTAGAAGTCAAGTCAGTAGGACTATAATGGTGGGAAAAGGCAAGTGAGGTGGAGGCTAGCTTAAGGGGGAATTCTAGATTTCTGACTTGGGTTATGGATACCATTAACTAAAAATCTAACCAAAAAACAAAACAGCTCAGTTAGAAGGAATATTTCTTTTTCTTTCTTTCTTTCTTTCTTTCTTTCTTTCTTTCTTTCTTTCTTTCTTTCTTTCTTTCTCTCTTTCTTTCTTTCTTTTTTTCTTCTTTCCTTCCTTCCTTCTTTTTTTTTTTTTAAAGAATCTATTTATTTACTTGAGAGCGAGAAGGGGAGAGCATGGGGAGGGGGAAGAGCAGAGGAAGAGGGAGAAACAGACTCCCTGCTGAGCAGGGAGCCTAATATGGGGCTACATCCCAGGACCCTGAGAGCATGACCTGAGCCAAAGGCAGTCACTTAACCGACTGAGCCACCCAGGCGCTCTGGAAGGAACATTTTTCTAAACACCTTCACAACTTCCTGTCTTCTCATACAAAGATCTTGGAACATATGGAACTTTCTAGAAAATGCCATTATGAATAGTAATCACTGTGAGGTTCTGTAACATAGTGACCCCCTCAGGGCTTAACTGAAATGAATAAAACTACTTGCTTCAGCACTAAATGGCTTCAAGCATCTTCCTTTCTCTCCCCTCCCTTCCTCCCTCCTTTGTCCTAAGTCTGTTGAAGAATGCTTTCATTTTCTGAAGAGGCTCAACATACCACTGCTCTTGCTGCCCTGAAGGTCCAACAAAACTCTAGCTCTTTCCTCATGGACCAGCATCAGCTCCATCTTCTCCCTCAAGTGGAACATTTGGGCTTGAACAAGAGACTCTCCATTTGTCCCCGATGACAATATCCTGGGATGCACTCCTGTCCACCTTTTTGAAAATTATGAACATTTTTCTGTCTTGACCTTCTTGTCTCTCTCCTGATGTGTCTGGTTTCTCAGGAAGGAGATCTGTTAGCACATCAGGAAGCTCTTTCAGGTCTGTGGGATGTAATCTGTCTGGACCTCTCCCCCTGAGTCCTCAACTATTTCAGGCTTCACATCTCGCTTCTTGATATGTCCTCCCACTGATTTTGGTCTGAAGAACATTCTTCTTGACAGAGAGAACCCCCAAAAATACAGATAGAGAAGTTGTTGTTTGCTGTAATTTAACATTAAGCCCTGGCTCCCAGCTGTGGGTCTGGCTGTCTCTTCTTTTTGCTTGAAAGTTAATTTTAAGCATTCTCCTAATAGACCTTAACCCTAGAATCTGTTCTCGGTCATCCTTGTTGACGTGCTCACTGTCACTTCAGGTCCTTGCTCTGACTTTGTTTTTTTGTCATGTCACTACTTCTCAGCACCTTTTAGATGTCCAGCTTTACCCTAGAGTTATTTTTTTCTAAATTTTATTATGAAATAATTAGAGATTCACAGAAACAGGCAAAAAGGGAAGTCTCTGTGACCCCCACCCAGTTTCTCCCAATGAGAACATCTTGCATAGCTATCGTACTCTGTCACAACCAAGAAATTGATATTGCTACAGTTTACAGAGCTTATTTCTATTTCATTAGTTTTATAGGCACTCATTTGTGTGTGTGAATACAGTTCTCTACAATTTTACCACATGCATATATTTGTGTAACCATCACCAATATCAAAATACCAAACTGTTCCTTCACCACACAACTCTCTCTTGCTGCCTTTATAGCCATACACACCCCTCCCTCCCCCACCAGCAATCACAGTCCCCCAACAACCACCAATCAGTCCCCCATTTCTATAATTTTGTTATGTAAAGAATGTTATCTAAATGGAAAGAGTACATAACTTTTTAAAGATTGGCTTTTTTTCACATAGCATGATTCCCTCCAAGTTGTTGTATCTATCAGTAGTTCTTTTTATTAATGAGTATTTGCCAGGAGTATTATTCCATGATATGAATGTACCATAGTTTGTTTAACCATGCACCCATTGAAAGACATTTGGGTTGTTGCCAATTTGGGGCTATTTCAAATAAAGCCGCTATGATCATTTATGTAAAAGTTTTTGTATAAGCCTAAGATCTCATTTCTCTAGGATAAATGCCCCAAAGTGCAATTGCTGGATTCTAAGTGTATGTTTGGTTTTATAAGAAGCAGCTGATCTATTTTTCCAGGGTGGTTGTGTCATTTACATTCCCACCAGTGATATTTCAACAGATTCAGCTTCTCTGAATCCTTGCCAGCAATTGGCATTATTACTATTTTTATTTTAGCTATTCCGGTAAGTGTATGATTGTGATATCTTGTTGTAATTTTGATATGCATTTTCCTAATGGCTAATAATGTTGGATATCTTGTCATGTGCTTTTTTTTCCCATTTGTATATGAAATGCCAATTCATGTCTTTTGCCAATGTTTTAATAGGTTCATTTGTTTTTCTGTCTAGTTTTTAGAGCACTTTATCAATTCAAAATACAAGTCCTTTGCTGGGTAGGTGGTTTGCAAATATTCTCTCCCAGTCTGTAACGGGTCTTTTCATCCTCTTAACAGGGTATTTTTCAAAGCAAAAGCATTTAATCCTGTGGAGGCCATACCTAGCAATTTTCCCTTTTATGGATTTTGCTTTTGGTGTCAAGTCTAAGAACTCTTCACCTGGCCTTAGGTCCAGTTTTTCTCTTATGTTTAATTCTTTTTTTTTTTTAAAGATTTTTATTTATTTATTTGAGAGAGAGCACATGAGAGGGGGGAGGGTCAGAGGGAGAAGCAGACTCCCTGTCGAGCAGGGAGCCCGATGCAGGACTCGATCCCGGGACTCCAGGATCATGACCTGAGCCGAAGGCAGTCGCTTAACCAACTGAGCCACCCAGGCGCCCCTCTTATGTTTAATTCTAAAAGTATTTTTCTCTTATGTTTAATTTTAAAGTTTTATAATTTTACATTTTACAATTAAGTCCATGGTTTGTATATGTATTATATACATATACTTGTATATATGTATATAATATATGTAATGTATATATATATGTAATATACACATACAATATATGTGTAATGTATATGTGTAATATATATGTACATATTTGTATATATAATGTATTATATATGTAGGTAATATGTACTATATGTATATAATATGTGTATATGTATAATATATATGTATATAATATATATGTGATGTGTGTAATATACATGTAATATATATGTAATGTGTATATATATTTATATTTATATATATAAACAGACAAACAAATCTTGACCTAAATTTCACTTAAGTCAAGATTGGTTTGTTTATTTATTTATTTTTTTGCCTATGGGTGTCCAGTTGCTCCAACACCATTTGCTGAAAAGGCTATGCTTCCTCCATGAAATTACTTTTGTAACTTGTAAAAAAAAAAAAAAAACCCAGTTGGTTATATTAGTGTAAGGACTATTTCTGTGTCCTTTATCCTGTTCTG